CCTTTAAAAATCGTCCTTGCAATCTTTTTTGTTTTCAAATAGCATTTTGGTAATTTTGCATTGTCATACATGAACTAACCTGATTTGAACTTGTGCCACTTTGGAATTTGCCATTCTTTCCTTTCAAATCCAATATCCTCTGGATTGTAGCGCAAATGTTTAAAGAACTCCTCATCATCTTTCCTGTGTGTTGTCACTGGCCGACCATGCTTGTGGGGTTGGGGCTTTCCATTCACTTGTCCAACTGGCACTGCATTCCGACTTGAACTGTTACTCGTGCACCTTTCCAGTTGCATATGTAAGTAGCATTAGCACCTCACGGACATGAGCTGTTTTAGCTTCAAACACCTTCACTGAAACGAACAAGGATCTATTGGACCATAAGAACAACTTATTCAAGCTTTTTACCCTAGTGAGTGCTTATTGAAGGATAAATGTTATAACAAGTAGGTGAGGCCAGGTTGACCCCAAAAAGCTAAATGAATAGGCTAAGTTATGTCAGTTCATTTTTTGTTATGAAAATTGCTTGCAACTAACTCATTTAACTTTTTTTTAAATATTGACACCATTGAGTGGGACAGGCTCTTTATGTTAAGACATGCATGGATTGGTCATGCATGGAAACATGGAACACTGATGAGAAAGTTGCTTAACAACAAGTTCTCTTTTGAAGTCCAAGTATCTTTGGAAAGCAATTATCCCATTGTTCTTGACTGTCGATAGAAAATATCCTGCCTTTAAGCCACTCGGGCAATATCGGTGTAAAGTATTTCGCTGAAGCCTGAAGCTTGAACTTTTTAATATTGTTCAAAGTGGTGCATTTGTTCTTGATTCCGTAACCTCTTTCCAGGCGCTTCAAAACGGTTGAAAGAATCTTATCTTCAGTTAAATTTAGCCCAAGTTCAAAGCTCCATCTCTTCGTGGGCTTTTGCTGCCTATTGAGGTAAATTGCTCCAGTAACTGGTACAGTTGTGATAGTTTCTCGAACTGTGTCAGTTTCCGTCATCTTGAATTATGCCACAAGGTTGAAACAAGCATTAACAAGATTCCTTGCACAGCTCGTAACAATAATCATCTCGAAAATAATCTTGCCTCATACTCAAGAACGTAAGAGATTTTATATTTTAGGGGCTCGGAAAGTTAAAAAGAATAAATTATTGAAAGTAGATCGGTGTTCTCTTGTTCCCAACAATCTACTAAAGAGTTCCCTTGTTCCCTGAAAATAATTTGAAAATATCCCTGTTCCCTAAAAATAAATGTTCCAGTTCCCTTGTTCTCTAAAACCCCTGGGAGGGGCTCGCTAGTGTCTGCCTGCATAGCTGCTTTATTTAATTAATGTGGGTAGTCTGTGTATTTGAAGTCTTTCACCCAACACTTAAACCATCTTATAAATAATTTGTCCGCTTCCTGTGAGAATCGAATTAAATCCAATTTACGTCAGAAAAAATGTCAATATTTTACGTTCTATTAAACCTTTGACTCTTGGGAATGATCAGTACGTAAATTAATTTGAAAATATCCTCATTAATAAATGTTGAAATGCACCTTTAAGCTTTGAGGTAATGGGAATTTAAATAATGAGAGAGTAATACTGTTTTAATAAAAATCTAATTTCCTTGGAATAGTTAGCCACAAAATTCACTGTAATAAGTTGAGAGTTTTAGTACTCTCCAATCTTGGGAATCAAAGGATAAATTTGATTTTTTCCTATAATGACTAATGTCTGTTGACGAAGTTGCTGATCTGTTTTATTGGGTGATCACATAACTGGACTGATCAAGTGGTTTGCAGATGCTCAGTGTTGAAAAAAAAGAAAAAAAAAGAAAAAAAAGGAAATGAACATTTCAAGAGTGGCTGTTAAGTTGCAACAAATCCAGCTCAATTAAAAATGAAACTGTGTGTGTTCTATCCTTCCTGTTAGGACATTGATGTACTATCGCTGGATTGATGCCGTAGATTTGACGTCAAGACTTTACTTTCCAAAAGCCTCACAAAGGAAATGGGACTTCTTCTTTTCAATGTTCCAGCGCACTATTAAAGAGTACCTAAATGGGCATGGTATGGGCCGTCACAATAAAGAGGAAGTTTATTCCATTGCAAAGAAAGACTTGCAGACCTTGTCCGATTATCTGGATGTCAAACCATTTGTCATGGGCCAGGAGCCTACAACTGTGGATGCGACAGTGTTTGGTCTTTTGGCAGAATTTGTCTGGCAGGACAAGGCCTCCCCACAAAATGCAGCAATTCACAAGGATTTTAAGAATCTGTTAGGTTATTGTGAGAGAATGAAAGAGAAATATTGGCCAGACTGGGATGACACAATTGCACATAGAAAAAAATTTCACTCTGAAGCTTAAGTACCACAGACAAAGAATATTTTCCTAATCATGCACGCACATTGAGGTACACTGTACGTGTTACATCTGATGACCCTGAACATGTAAAAATTATGTTCTTCAACTCTTTCTACCTTAACTTCAGGATAAATGTTCTCCATACTTTTATCCTAATGAATGATTCAGCAGTATAGCACTGTAAGTAGATGTTAGATGCTGGACCCTCCTTGGGTTTCGAGGTTTAACCCAGGGGTAGGGAAAGGTCATTCATCTAGTAGAGGACAACGTTGTCCTATTGTAAATTTACCTGCCTTTGGCAAATTGTTATATACAATACAATACAATATCAGTATTGAGAAAGTAAGGAGAAAGTTTATGATAAGAAAAAGGTATCATATCTCGAGCAACTACCTCAGCGTCAAGCTTGTGGCCTGTCGTCTGCCCTATTCGAAATTTAGACAGAAGGTACGACTTCTGTTTTTCGTTGAATCTGTAAGCCTTCTTTATTACTCTGAGAGCCCAGCCTCCTTTCAGAGAAACACGAGAATCTTCCTGTCCCACAGGGGCTTGAAGCGGTGGCAGCTTTCCCACACCTTCCTCCAAATATGATTTGTAGCCAACTTTTGCCAAGTCCATTAATGAATGCTTTTCCCTGTACCCTGGTACATTTTTCAAGTGACAAGTGCTTTTCTAAGGCTGAAAGCCTTTGAGAAACACGGGTGCAGCCGTCTCGAGGACAGGAATACACCCCTGCTCCCTGACTACGTTCCATGGAAGCTTCAGAAGATGTCTCTTCAAGCACATTCTCTTCCCCTGACGATTTGTGGTGGGTACTTTTAAAGGAACGAAAATCTCCTGCAGAAAATGATTCTTGCACAATCCCTTGTCCAGGAACTTCAAAAGTAGTGAGCGAAACATAAATGCGACAGCCACACAGCTATGAAATAATTTTCGTGAATTAACACACAACCCTTTAAGGCAGCCCACGATACCATGTAAGAGGGGTTTAAAATACCCCCCTCCCTTTTTTTTTCTTGTATTATGTTTGTTTGAGCAACATTTTGTAAACATTTAACCTCTTATGGAAAATATCTTGTGATAGATGCAGATAAAATTTTTCCTTACATGTAATTAATAGAAACCTGCCGACAGAACAGACTGTTATTAACTATTAGGAAGGCCTGGGTCCATTCAGGAACTATTTACTCACCAGAAGAGGATTTTTCTATTTTGATCGCTTTCCCTTGACCGACAGAATATGCGCGCCAACAGGAAATAGAGCCCATCGAACTAAATTCAAAGTTGTTCAACTTGGGGATTCCTGTAATGGTTTGTGCATCGTCTGGGGTTTCTTCGATGGTATCCAAAGACACCATTCGTACACCTTCCAAACCGCCGTGGGATAGCAGAGCTTCCTTCAGGTCGCTGGCGGTGCAGACATTATGGCCTTCATTTATATAGGCCCTTGTGTGGCTTTTAAAGCTCGCAGCCAATCGATCTGCAACCCCTTTCCCGCCTTGAGGGGCACTGAAGTCAACACGGACTACCTTCACTCCGGTGTTCGCTGAGATTTCTTGGCACTTCATGAGCGGGCGGGAGGAGTGGTAGCAACCGGCGTTATCTTGCCTGAAGTAGGCTTTGTTGATTTCAGGATACTCTTGCTTCAATGTAGCCAGAACATGTTGCATAATTGCAGTAACGGCAGAACTTCCTTGGGTACAGGACTGAATCACATGTATAAAGGCTTGCCACTGTATCACACCCTCTATTCGTCTGTACACCACAGATATGTGCCAAGAGATACCCCTCTTACCAAACCAGTCTATCTGTAATTCGCGGTATCTCTGAGACAAGAACTTCATGGCCCAGTCATTAACAAAGAATACTGCTTCGGAATTAAGGACATCGATGACGTCCAAACGAGCCTGATCTTGGTGGTTCGACAATTCCTCAGCAAATGGCACTTCCATGACTGGATGGGAAGTGCAGCAGAGCTAGCGAGAAACAGAGCTTCGTCTTTGTCTCCTTCTGTGGTAAAAGATACTTCATCAACCGTAGTAGATATGTCGTTCAGGGTCGAATGCAAGCTTTCACACTGGTCACATAGCTCGTCATGGTTGTGTTCGTATTGCTGCCGCAGGTCAGAATCTTCGGTGTCACTCAAAGCAAATACACTGCAATGACTTGCAACTCGAGATGAGGAGCTTACGTGAACCTGAGTGGAAATATGAAACACGGCTTAACACAAAGCATGGATTACCTTGTTAGCACAGCATTAACGGCAAAAAATATATGCAATATGTATGCTTCATGGTATCTAAATCAAATAACCTCAATGATCTGAGTCGATGGAATCTATTACAAACGTAATTTACACTGAACACAAACAAATAAGGCGCAAAAACCGAGGAATATCTCCCGGCCAGGGTAGACCTGTCGTCGGAACGATGTTTTCATGTTATACTTTCATCTATTTATGAAATAAGATCACCCTGCTTAACAAACGTAATCCAATCTTTGGGTATCTTGAAACTTTCGATTGCTTACCATGAAATCGCCCGTTAGGTAGAATTTAATGATTTCACGTATCGCACTTGCCACTCCTTTCTAAGAACAAGCTCTCCCAGTTGAAGAACCAAGTCTTCTAGTTCATCGAACGCACGCGCCCCTTCTGCTGCGAAATAGTCAAGGCCTTGGAGATACTTTCTGGTTGAGGCCTTGCATTCATTCAGAACACGCAGCATCGTCCGCCCGCTGAACGCCTTAAATCCAGTCTCGTTGCAGTACTGGGTATACTGACGCACTATCCTTTGCGGTATCATGGTGCAAATAACATTCAGCTCTTCAAACAGTTGTCCAAAGGAGAGCTTCAGTGTTTTTTGTCTAAATGGCAGATCTTGCACCAAATGGGGGCTTGTTATATAGGATGAAAAGTGATCCAGCTGGTTTGGGTCGACTCTTATCCTTGATGAAGGCTGGGGGTCACTGATGCGCCGCTCCCGTGCTGAAGGCGATGCAGGTTAGCTATAGTAAAACGATATCTACTTAAGCCAGGTATGAATCTCGAGATATCACTATAATTAGAAACACCACACATCATAGAAAGAATTTGCCGTCTTGTGTCCCACCCCTGAGCTTTGTCATATGCCTCTGCTAGGACCTGAAGGTAGTTCTTAGAGGTCTCGGAGAGTTCGTCCAGCCCGAGTCCTTCATTCATGGCAGGATAAGAGACGACTGCTTGCCAAAGAGAGCCTGCATAGTTGGGTGTTAGGTCGTGGAGCACGGAAGAAAATATCTCTGCGGTTCGTTTAGTATACCAAAGCTTAGTGCTGTCACTGGCCTTTTCCCACTCAACCCAAGGTTGAGTGACTGGCTCAATGCTTTTTGACACCAGATACTCGTTCAACTTTTGAAGAGAATTTGGCTTTGAGGTCGTGCCTTCTTCACTCGTTGAAGAGACAAGGCTTGCAGTATCGGGACTCAAAAAGGTCTCGTCATCCTTCCACCCGTGGGATGATATTTCCAGAAACATCAAGTCCGTCTCTAGACCATCAGAAGATAACTCACTACCAGCACTTAATTCCACTCCCGGACGGTCTGTTTCCATCTCATGAGCCTACGAAAAAGTTTTCCCTGTAAGTATAAGTCTCTAAAACTGATTTCTTTAAATATCTCCATAAGGAATCAGTTTTGGGTAATAAAAAAATCTCAGCAGCATCACTCGGGTACTGTTGTAGGACATACGGAAAACAAACAAAGGTGATGCAGGAATTCGACTACCAAAGTGCGGCATAGCACCTCCTCCCTTGTGCCTAGATTAACAATGGTTTTGTCTGAAGGGCTTTTTCACGTGTGTTTTCTTCCTCAACTTTTTTTTTCAATTTCCAAGCTCTTATAAAAATAAATGTTTTCCTTTTTAGTTATTGTATGTAAACCATCTACGAGGTCATCAATTTATATTTGAAGCTTACTATTGTCTGTGGCTCAGGTATCTGCACCATTAGCCGAGGCTCTCTGGGGGCAGACACGATACTTGCTCCAGCGTCTTTTTAGCTACAATTTGCCCCCTGATGAACTCGTCGCATCGCCTACAAATTGCTTTAAGAAAAAAGCAAAATTAAACAACTCATATAAATTATTATTTCCAGGTATAAATTAATCAATTAGTCATCATTCCATGGGTTATCAGGCGCTCGACGAGAAAAAAACCTTGACAAAATAAATGGCAAAGCTTCCTCACTGATATAAAATCTGCTAGATTGAGATGTTTTTTTGTTTGTTTGTTTATGATGTTACAAATAAATGTGAGAAAAAGAAATTTCATGAGATCATTCATCAACAGAAGCATTTTAACTTACGCCACCCAACTGGAACTAAGGTGTTGGTGTTGCAAAAAATATACATCGATTTTCGGCTGTCCACACGGTTGCTTCCTTTTGCACTTGAGGACTTATGTGCCGCTAGATCCTTGGGAATTGCACAAAGGGTTTTGTTAGACCTCCAACGGATGCCACAGTCTGCTCTATGGCGTGGGCAAATAGTCTGGTTGAGATGTCTGCTCGATTGAGAAAACACCTGCAAAAATTAGAACACGACTTAAATCTGTTACAAGACCCATTCATAAGCATAATAAAAATAACTAGAAACACACAAAAGTCTGTGGAGAAATATTTACCGGCTCTGGCCAATAGCAGCTTCATTTCAGTTCTAGAACCTTCATCTGCACTCAGTCCAAGAGTCGATAGATGTCCAGTTACATCTTTCGTGCAATCCTCGAGTGTAACGCATTCCAGCTGACCAGGATAATCAGGAGATTTCCCGCAAGGGGTAGCCTTGCCAACAAGTGTTACATAGCTACAGAGAGCCATGAAATGACAAGTAATAACAACTTCTGAGGAGAGCACGTATCAAAGCTCAAGACTTGTCCGTGAAATAACTTCCTTTAGGTCTTTTACGAAATCTAGACTATTTGCGCAAGAGCTTCGTGGACGGTTATGACACGACACGCGACATGCTTCATCACCAGCGGAAATTGTTATAAAGATTACACCGTCTTGGTGAAGATGGTGCGAGTTGTTGGAAGCTCAATGAAAGTAAATCTGAGGTTGAAGTGTAAAAGTGTTATCGTGTGGTTATCAGACCTTGAGTGAAGTTTTTGTTTTTT